GGGGGGGGGGGGGGATGTCTGAGGCACATCAAATACGAGTATTGATGCAAGCTGCCATGCCGAGATCAGGTACGTACTGGTACGAGACGCGACGGCCATCTAGATACACACCCCCTACTGCCGAGTATCGGTACTTGGGACGAGCTCCCTCTGTACCGAGACAGTACCGCATGTATCTGCTTGTACATGATCCGCTAGGGATACTAGCGGTAGGTATCCATGCATGTACCAGCCCTCCTCCACACGGAGCAGACACTAAACCGAACCGGGATATATCCCACCTCGAGGTACCGGGTCGACCGAGACCCCACATGGACTCTCAGCCAATGCCGTCTTCCCGATCCATCAGATAATCTTCAGCGGCTTCGGCGTTGCAGGCCAACTTCTCAAGCTTTCCCCCCATCGTCTCATCGGCTTCCTCTTCTCTGTGCTGCAGCACGGAGCAAGACGGGAAGGCGAACCGTGATCCTTCTCATCTGTACTTGTATGATGCCATGACGAGCAGAAGAAACGTATGGGACACCATTACCCACCCCCCGCTGTCTGACCGCAGCGCTCACGGCCGGCCTAGGCCAACAGTACTTGTTACTCGTAGTCGGATTGATCTGCTGCATGGAGAGATCCCTGAAGGCCCCCCTCCCTCTCCCTGTCTCTGTCTCTCCCTCTCATATTCTCTCTCATTTTCTCTCTCACGAATTCCGTACCCCGTAGTTACTGCCCCACCTTGACCTCTTTTTTTCTTCTTCTTCCATCTTCCCTCCAAAACATGCCGAACTAATCGCGAGCTCGGTATTCTTCCTTCTCTCACTCTCTCTTTCCTTCCTCCTCTTTTCATTCCCACCTTCTCAGACTCTGACAGTCCCCTTCCCTTCTCCCCCCCCTTCCCCCCCTTTCTCAAAATTCAATTGAGAAGACAGGAGATAGCCGATCGAGAAAAAGAAAGAGAGTAGAGAGAAAAACATGTCTCACGTTTCGCTGAGCTCCGTTTCCAACGGGGAGACCGTCATCAAGCTCCCCCACCCGTACCTAACCGAGTACGCCGTCGCCAAGGCAGGCGAGGACAAGTACCGCATCGAGCTCAAGGCCGACTCGTCGTCGTCGTCGAAGCTCGCGCCGCAGAAGCAGCCCCCGTCCGAGCTGCACAGCGAGACCCTGCGCTTCACCGAGCCCGTCGACCTCAAGTCGAGCGAGCTCCCCAGCCAGTCCAACAACTCTGCGTGGGCGCGCGCCCGCCGCTCGCCGGCCTCGACGGTCAGCTGGGAGGGCGCCGAGGCGCCGACCCTGGCCCAGGCCTGGCTCCTGCTGTACGTGCTCTTCACCGTGAGGCCGTCCATGGAGTCCCTCCGTCTGGAGCTCGCCGGCGCCGGCGCCCCCCTGCTGGGCCAGCAGCTCAAGGACGTCTTCCTGGCCGTCGACCACCCCGAGCGCAGGGGCCGCCACGATGACGAGGCCGCCGCCCCGGCGCCCCCGGAGTCGCCAGAGACCGAGTCGCTCGTCGTCGCCGTCCGCAGCGCCTTCTGGCAGGGCGCCGGATCGCCCTTCGGCCCCAGGCCTGTCTGGTGCCCCGAGGAGTCGCCCGCGTCGCTGACCAAGCCTCTCTCCTCCTACCCCGTCACCCCCACCCACCACACCATCACCGTCTCGTCCGCCGGCGACCCCGAGGACCCCGCCCGCACCCAGCAGGCCTGGCACCCCGTCCGCCCCGCCAAGCCCGCCCCCGGGGCCGTCATCTACTCCCGCTACATCCCCCACCTCGGAGAGACCTTCTCCATGGTCTCGCTCGACTGGCAGGACGAAGAGCACCTGCGCCTCTTCCACGACTGGCAGAACGACCCCCGCGTCTCCCAGGGCTGGAACGAGACCGGCACCCTCGACCAGCACCGCGAGTACCTCCGCAAGATGCACGTCGACCCTCACCAGGTCGCCGTCCTGGCCAGGTGGGACGACACCTACTTTGCCTACTTTGAGATCTACTGGGCCAAGGTATGCTTCTTCCCCGACTCCCCCATCCGCCTCCCCTCCTCTCGTGTCCCGAAGACTGACTGGCCATCACACAGGAGGACCGTCTGGGTGGCTACTTCGACGCCGGCGACTTTGACCGCGGTCGCCACTCACTCGTCGGAGACGTCCGCTTCCGAGGCCCCCACCGCGTCACGGCCTGGTGGAGCAGCCTCATCCACTACCTCTTCCTCGACGACCCCCGCACCGTCGATGTCGTCGGCGAGCCCAAGGACGCCAACTCCACCGTCGTCATGTACGACCTCATCCACGGCTTCGGCCTCGAGTACTTTGTCAACCTGCCCCACAAGCGCAGCGCCCTCGTCCGTCTGTCGCGCGGCCGCTTCTTCCAGCTCTGTCCCCTGGGTGAGAGTCCCAAGGCTATCGGTGGCATGAAGATTGGTCTGGTTCCCAAGCTGTAAAGAAAGGGGGGGGGGAGGAAGTATCGGAGTTGTTGCAATGAAAAGAATGATCAAGTCGTATATAGATGATTGTATTTGAGTCATTTTCTGCTTTTGCGTATTCCAGGGTTAAAACAAGAAAATTGCATCTGTTATTCCATCTCGATATTTTTTTTCTTCCAAGATTGAATCAACCTATGATAATACATGCATGTATGCATGCATGTACGTACTCGTCCTTTTTTTATCTATCACGTAATAATATCAAAAGATAAAACCATTGGAACGTAAAGCCAAAAGAAACACGCCAAATTCTTTTCTTCTTTATCCATCCAAACTCTAGGAAAATCATAAAACTATATCATAAGCATGCGAATAAATGGAAAGACAGTAAGAAGATAATCAAAAGGAAAGAAAAAAAGAAGAAGAAAACTACAGCTTGGCAGACGAAGCCCTCTCGACAATTTCGGCAGCCAGCTTAGCCATCTCAAACTTCTTGACCTTGCCGCTTCCAGTGAGGGGCACATTGGCAGGGATTCCGTTTTCGCCGAGCCAAAAGACGTGGGTGGCCGACTTGTGGCCACCGAGCCTCTTGCGGCACCAGTCTCTGAGCTCGAGGTCGGTGGGGCGGGTTGCCTGGTGGCCCTCTGCGAGCTCGAGGAAGGCTCCGACGACCTCGCCGTAGTGCTTGTTCTTGACGCCGACGACGATGGCGCGCGCGACGGCCGGGTGGGCCATGAGGCGCTCCTCGATCTCGAGGGGGTAGATGTTCTCGCCGCCACGGATGATGATGTCCTTGAAGCGGCCGGTGATGGTGCAGTAGCCGTCCTGGTCGAAGACGGCCTCGTCGCCGGTGTGCAGCCACAGGACGCCCGAGGCGTCGCGGATCATGACCTCGCTCGTCTTCTCCGAGTTGTTCCAGTAACCGGCCTGGAGCTGGTAGCCGGCGATGCAGAGCTCCCCCCGCTCGCCGATGGGCACGATGCGGCCCTCGCGGTCGACCAGCTTGGCCTGGGCGTGGGGCATCAGGCTGCCCGCCGTCGTCAGCCGCCGGTCCATGGCGTCGTCGGTGAAGGCGTTGAAGCACGTCGGCGACGCCTCGGTCAGGCCGTAGCTGCTCGTGAACTCGGTCATGCCGAACCGGTTCACCAGCAGCTCCATCAGGTACCGCGGCACCGGCGCCCCCGCGATGATGCCCGTCCGCAGGCGGTCGCAGTTGAAGCCCTCGGGCACCGGGGCCTGGAACAGCGAGTCGAACATGGCCGGCACGCCGTGGATGGCCGTGCACGCTTCGTCCGAGATGGCGCGGAGCGTCGCCGCCACGTCAAACACCTCGCCCGGGTACACAATCTTGCCGCCGTGCGTGATGACGGCCAGCATGCCCAGAACCAGACCGAAGCAGTGGAACAGGGGAGGAGGGCAGCATAGGACGTCGGCGGGCGTCAGACGCATCCTGTCGCCGATGAAGCGCGAGTTGTTGACCAGGTTGCTAGGGAAGAGAGTGTTAGCGGGACCGGTCGGAAGAAAAACTATACTTCTATATATATATATATATGTAGAGAGAGAGGGGGG